CCCCAGTCCCTTTCACTTTGGCAACTGTTAGTCCATTCTTGGGTTGTGTGAGTCTGCTGCTGTTTTGTTCCTTCAGTTTTTTCTCTGTTCTTATACTCCACAGATGAGTGAAATTATTTGATACTTGTCTCAAAGCCTGTTTTCTGACAGTGGCTTCTGTCCTTGGTCCCTTGCCTGCCTGCCTTGCTTTGCAGGGCTCCTCGGTGTTCCATGTTAGCCACCCGCCTCCGTCACACACACCCTTTCTAACTAACTTTGCTGTTTTCTTCCTTTGACCTGAGGAATGTGGATTCATCTGGAGCAAGGCACATATCTTGTGCCAAAATAGGAAGTTCAAAAATGGAAAGTTCTCCTGGCTTCTGTAGTGATCATTTCCCTACTCTGAATGGCAGGTCGCTGCCCAGAGATCTTAGACTAAATAACCCCCTTTCCTTCTAAAACTAGCTTTCCAGTTGTGTGATCACATTCCAGAAAGTTCTACACACCACCTCTTCTGCTCCATTCCCACAGTGTAGAAAAGCCAAATTTAAGAGTTTTGCTTTGTCATATAAAATATCCATGGTTTCTACAAAACCTTATTTATAAGCAGCAGTGTTTTTGGTAACTTGTATGGATGGTAGAATAAATCAGTGGAGGTACATATCTCCAATTTGAGGAAGAAAACATCTCCCTCAGGGCACTGACTTTCATTAGAGCTATTTTGGAATTTTTTTTCATTATTTCTATATTATATACTTACAATGTCACTTTGCTGGTTACTTAGTAGAAAATGCTGAATATTATCGGGTTGGTTTCACCCACCCACAACTTTCTTGCACATCTCCCATGATTCATGCATGAATTATAAGGTCCTTTCACATAAAGCTTTGAGATAACACCACTCTTGCATTTGTCTGGATGTGTGAAAGAAGTCACCTGCAGAAACACAGAGCCATGTCACTCCTGATTTTGTGAGCTAAGGGCTAGCAACCTTCACTGAAGCCACATTTCCCGGGTTCCTGTAGTCAAGCACTGGGTCTGTCCCAGAGAGATGACTCACAGGGACCACATTCAGATTGAACAGATGAATAAATTAAGCCACCACCACCCTTCACCTATGGGACAGCTGTCTGGTGGCAATCATCCTAACTCCTCAAAGTTGGGGCTTTGGTGTATGAACCTTTCAAGGCAGTTACTATGCAAACCCACCTCGTTTTTCAGGTGTAGCCCTTCCAGCCCTCATGCCAAAAGCCTTAGCAGGCAGGGCAACAGGAGCTGGTACTGCAGTCAGCAGAGCCTGGACCATGGGGCAGCTGAATACCCAGCAAGTCTGGCCCACCCTCAGCCCTCCCAGCCCCTGAGAAGGGGCGCAGGTGTGGCCACCACCAGGGCCAGGCACTGTGGGCTTGTGCAGGCAAGGCTGCCAGAACAGACAGCTTGCTTGTCCTACTTCATGTTGAAGGAAATTCCCTCAAAGGAAGTGTGTTCTTATAGGTTCATGACTGCACTCTTCCAGGGCCCTGGACTGGGGTACCAGGGTGCAGCCTGAGATTCCCCACACCTGTAGCCTGGCTTAGTATAAATCTCTTTAGCACTGCTTTCTTCTCCAGCATAAGTCCAGTGTTCAAGGCCAGCATGAGACCCTGAGATGGGAAGGTGGGGATGAGGGTAGAGCATTCACACGTGGGTGGCTCCCCCAGGCATGCATGCACACACATGTGCACACTCACACCTCCTCTGAGGAGGAAGTGCACTGACTCCCTGCCTGTGCAGAACTGACCTTTGCCCTGATACCCACGTGTACCTGCTGGGTAGAATCACTAGGAAGATGCATCTTTAAGCCAATGATGACTTTATTACCTTATGAGAAAGGGCTGGGTCCAGCTTACGGGATCACAGAAGGTCCCTGAACTCTGCGCACTTCTCCTCCTCCTGCCCCTGCCCCTGAAGCTGCTGGGCACCCCCATAAGGGCAGGCCCACCGGCCCGGGAGCTGCCTCAGCTGAGTCTCTGGATTCCACCTTCTGCAAGGTGAATCCTGACCTGTGGCCCGCTCAGGTACGGGGCTCTTGTCTGCTGCCCAGTGACAAGCTGCCTCGTTTCCATCCCACTCTACGTCCACCCAGGGACAGAGCCCCTAAGGCAGGCGGCCAGCCCTGGGCAGGCAGCAGCGAGGCTCCCCTGGTGCCACCTGCAGGTGGTTGTCCAGTCTCCCAGGCCTGCTCGCCCTCTGGCAGCTGGAAGACTTCTGTGACCTTGTGTTAGACCCGTGTGCTGGCTGCCAGTCCACTCACTGCTGCTTTGCCCCTGGACGCTCATGAAGGACCGTCCCAGGGGCGCTGCCTCATCTGCCTACCCGCCCGGACGCAGCTCCAGCTCTAGGTCTTGGCTTCTCCCAGCCAGCCACGGAGAACCAGGCTGTCCCCAGCCTGGAGGTCTTTGGCTGTGCCCCTCACCCAAAGCACAAAGACTTGATGGCCTTCCTAGGAGCCCTGGGAAACGGCCAGGGGCGGGAGCTCATCGCCTTGCATGGCAGCCCAGGGTTATAGCTCCCCTTGGGAGGGCGCTTGGGCTTTTTACCCAACTTTCATCTTCTTCCCTGTCACTTCTGTCCATTTGCCCTTAATCAACTGGGGACAAAACTGTCTTTTTCTGTGTAGCTGTTCCCTATGCATTTGAGAGGTAGCACCATGTTTCTTTTGTTCTTCAAGCTGAACAGCAACTATTTGCTCAAAGATCTCATGTGTGACATGGTGGCTTAAAGATCCTCTGAATAATCTCTGGTTTGCCAATTTTCTTCTTCAAGTGTGACACTTGGATAAAGCAATCCAGCTGTAATCTGACACACAAGAGGACACTGGGCTGTTGCTGGCTTTAGACCCGATGCCCTATCAAAGCTGATGCCATGTTTCCAACAGTCACATCACACCGTTCACTCAGTGTACCTCCAGTAGAATTTCCTGGAACATCATGTGGCCCATGTATGCACAGTCCTAGGTGTGTGGGCACCGTCTTAGGTGTGTGGGCACAGTCCTGGTAGGGCAAGACCCTTGGTGTGCAATGCCAAGGCGTGTACAAGGCTGACATGGCTGTGCATGCAGATTGCCCCAAGGTGGGGCAGCATAGGAGCTTGGAAGAGGAGAGAACCAAGGGTCATGGTGGAAAGTGCCCTGGAAGCAGAGGGCAAGCTCACAAAGTTGTGCAGGGGAGGAAAGGAGTCACAGTGGGGCCACAGCACAGAGCAGCTTCAGGGAAGGGGTCTGCCACCTCCATCACTAGGATTTCATTTCCTGTGGCTGGTTTTCTAGCTTTGCGATGGCCTCTCAGTCCTAAAAACTGCATTGGCTGCACTGTCCCTGGTATCGCACAACAGGAAGGTGTCTGTGCATGACGTTGTAACAACTGTAGAGACTGCATGGTTTGGAAAATAGGAAAAAACAATTGATGTTGAAATATGCACTTAAGGAACCTGCCAAGGAGGAACCCAGCATCTGTTCCACCTGCATGACTACTTGCACTAATGAGGCGGGCGGCCCCTCAACAACAGCACTACCAACTGTGGACCGTACTCAGTGGGGGGCTGTGCTCTTGATAAGGCCCGGGAAGCCTCTCCGTGCGGGAAATGAAGAGGGAGCTGGATCAGGGCTGAGCATGGCCAGGGTGACAGACACACGTCTGTGTACCATCCCCTCTGGGAGGGACAGCTTGCCTCGGGCTGTGTGCTGGAGGGTCGGGGCCCTGCCTCTGTGTCCAGGGCTGGAAACCTGAGAAGGAAGGCTGGAGAACCGCGCGCTCAGCTCTGCTCAGGGCTGGGTGTCTTAAAGTCCAGTTCAGTGGTGACACTGGCCACTGAGGTTAGAGAGAGGCCCCACAGGTCAAGGACAGAGTCCCCCACAAGCAGCTATAGATTTGGGAGTTCCCACAACTCCTTTAGGCTTTATAGTTTACTAGAAGGATTTGCAGATCTCATGAAAGCACTACTTTATGCAAAATTAGAGTCTTACTATAAAGATTGCAAATCAGGAGGACCAGCCAAATGAGGAGACTTCTACATCCAAGACGGGGCAGGCCTGGACTCAGAGTTCTGTGCCCTCACCTCCTGGAGTCACCATAGGCATGTCACCCCTGGGCACGTGCATGTGTCCACCACCAGGAAGTGTCCTGAGCTTCCCAGAGTTATGTCATTGGTCATATCCCCTCCCTGGAAGCAGTCTAAGGGCCCCCCTTAGTGTATAAGGACCCTCACTGAGGAGATTCTAAGGGCTTTGTTTTAGGAACCTTGTGCCAGGAACTGGGACAAAGATGATGTATATTCTTTACGTTACCTTCTGTGATCAATCAACACCCTAATTGGGAGCACATGGGTGAAGGGTTTTTCACTACCTGGGAGAGAGGCAATTGCTGGGGTGGTGGTAGCCTGGGGAGGTGGAGGCAGTAGAGACAGAGAGGAAGGCTGTGGAGGTAAGATACAGGCTGGAGATAAGCCCACAAAGCTGGCTGACAGGCTGGGAGTATGAATGAAGGAAGAGTCCCAGATACCTGGCGCCTGACCCCGATCATCCACTGAGCTGGGCAAGTCGTGGGGCAGGAGCAGATTCAGGGAGCCGGGAGAAGCAAGGGTTTCACCAGGGGCTTGCTCAGTGTAAGGCGCAGGCCTCCCAGGGTGCTAACAGCAGGCCAGCAGATGGACGTCCTTCTCAGGAGCTTCAAGGACGGCCTGGTGGGCCCACCCTGGGATCCTGGGCAGAGGCCCTGGCCGTGCCTGGGAGGCAAAGCCAGCAGGGAAGCCGGGACCTGCCTCCGAAGTGTGGGTGTCCAGGGAAGATGCACAGGGCTGTCCGGCATCCTGGGGCACCTGTGGTCGGGGGTCACCATGGTGTCTCGTCTGTCCCCAGGCATCCTGAAGGTCGTGCTCCTCTTGTTCGCCTCGGTGTGCGCCTGGTATTCCGGGTATCTGCTGGCAGAGCTCATTCCCGAGGGGTCCCTGTCCAGCGCTGTGTACAGCTTCCAGAGCATCGGTGACAGGCCTGTCCTCAAAGGTGAGCACCCTGGGGTGGGTCCAGCTAACAACTCCGCAGCCCCACTGCAGCGGTGAGAAGTGGGACCAGGCCCCAGCTCGGCCCTGCCTGGGCACGTGTGCTGAGGAGGAGCAGGAGGAGGTCGTGCTTGGGGGTAAAGGAAGGGGAGACAACACCACCCCCTGCGGCCCCTGCACCTTTCCAGGCAGCTTCCCCTGCTCGTGTCCACACGAGACCCCCAGGCAAATCCTAATGTCAGGAAAAGGCACAAACGTCATGTGCAGAATGTGTTAAATAAAAACACACATCTGGAATACAACTCAAATTGGGGCTGAAGGGAAGTTACAAAATATCCATTAAAAATTACATCAGAAAACATGTGAGACACTAAAGTAATAATCTCTACCTTTTTTTTTGAAATCTCATGATTTTCAAAATCATGATATATGCTGGTATATTTTTAATACAGACATTAATTATATAATGTTAATTTGCACAAATACAAAGAACTGGGTGAAAGCCATTCCTTTTCAGCTTTAATTACAGAGAGGGAGGGAGGGAGGGAAGGGCCTCACCCCCTGCCATCTGCCTTGTGCAGGCATCTGTGCCCTGTGGGAAGGGCAGAGCTCAGCCAGGCTCCCACCCCAGTGCACACCTCCAGCACCTCCCGCTGTCCTCCGGAATCCCTGCCCCATGTGATGGGCCCAGCAGGTCGCACCCGCCCCTCTGTCCCTGCCGCCTGCACGCGTCCCCCTGTCCCACTGCCTGCACCCATATCCCCACCACCCTTTCAGTTTGAACCCTCACTGCATGGTGCGCAGGGCTGTTAGGCGGGCATGCGTCGTGGTGTTGGTTAGTGAACACGTCCTGTGTCTGGTGTCACATGTCACGCCCCTGGGGTCCTCTCGCTGCAGGTGCCCGTCCTCATCACACCTGGGCAAGGATCCTCCTGCCCGCCCAGTGCCTCTGGGACAGTGCCTGATTGCCCCCACCTTGTCACTGCACAGATGCTGTCCAGGGGACATCCCCATATTGTCTGCTTGGAAACCTGGGAGTTTTCTTTGGGATTCGTAGTGCCCAGGAGCAGTACTATGAGGCCACAGCTCATGGGTCAGCTTGACTCCACTAAGTCGCACTGACCCCTTTCCAGAAAGGCCGCCCCCCAACCCCAAGCAACACATGGGGCTCCTGTCTCCTGACATCTTCCCCGCTGGTGTGACCAGCTTTCTGATTTTGCCAATCTGATATGCATGAAGTGGCTGCTGTGACAGCATCCCTCTGGTTACTAATGAGCTTGGGAAGAACACCAAGCTGCCCTGAGAGTAGTAATCCTTCCTGGCCAGTGGCAGGAGCTATGAGGAACAGCTCAGGGGACCTCCTTGGAGCCTGAGCCTTAGGCCCTGGGTTGGCCCAGCTCCCTCATAAGAAGGTGCTGAGCTCTTGGGCTGGGATGTGCTGCGTCACAGACACCAGGCTCTGTCCCCGGGGCCCTCTGTAAGTCACACATCTGTGCCTTGACCACAACACGTAATCTGTAATGACTATTCAAACTTGCTGACTTTCTGCTTTGCCATTTCTATGTACACTATCCCACCCTCCTCCGTCCCTGGGGAGCTGAGGACAGTGTGTCTGGTATTTCAGATATTGGTTGGATTATATTTGTATCATGAGAATCTGTGAATGAGTAAAGGAATGAAGCCGGTTGGAAACCACATATGCCCGCACGCACAGCTTGTGCCCCGGGGTTATCACGCGGTCCAGCTATTTCTTCCCGTAAGAGGCATGCTCCCAAATAAGGAATACAATTGCCTTTCTTCTTTCACTAACATTTTGTGCTCCTAGGAAATGTACGGGAGGTTAAGAAAGCCTTTTTAAAAATGCTGTACAGGTTACCCAACTGTTTCCAGGCACGGTGGGGAAAGGTGCATACCATCCCCATGTCACCCCCAGGCACTGGAGCCATGCCTTCCTTGGAGAATCCAATGAAAATCAAATGTCCCCCTTCTAAAAAATGTGCCCATGCACGTCCACATGAACAGCACCCACACTCTCCCAGGGCCACGAGTTCAGAAGGCCTGCCCCCTGGAGGCAGGGAGCCTCACTCCTGGCAGGGCCCTGCCGCAGGGCCAGCAGCCATGAGGGCGGCCAGATCCTCACCTTACCACACTGCTGACCCCAGGAGAAGGAGGGGGCCGAAGAGCAGCCCCATGAGTCCCCTGGGATGGCTGCTCCAGGAGGCTCCAGTGACTGGCCTTCAGGGGAGCATCCCAGGGTCAGAGGGAGGGAGGGATGGGCAGGCGGAGTCTCATCCAAGACCAGGCTTGCTCAGCTGGACTGCTCGCCCTGGTCCTGCCCCTGAGCCCCAGCCCCCACATCTGCTGCCCCAGATCTGGCCCTTCCCTCTGACAGGCAGGAAGAGGGACAAGGAGCGTCTCAGGTGAGGGCCTGGCCTGCACTGCCACACCTAGTCCCTGGGCGTCCCCCAGACCTGCGTCAGGAACAGGATGCCCAGGCCTGTCTGCTACTCAGAGCCCAGCTCCTGGCTTTGAAACAAAGCAGAATATCTTTCCCGGTTTCCCCCACTGACCCAAAGGTAATGGGATACTAATCTGCTGTCCTTTCATCTCCAAACTCCCCTATTATGTGAGTGTCGGGAGGTAAGAGGTGTCCAGAGGTAAGAGGTGTCCTGGTGGCTTTACCCCTAAGATCCCTGGGGGGCGTTAGGCCATCCGCCCTGCACATCAGCTGCTCACACCTGGCGAGCCCAGGGCCTGCAGCACCCTTGCTGGGCCTGCCCATCATTTAGTTGAGAGGACCCTGCAGCACTGTGATGATGGCGGAAAGACACGGAGCCGTTTCCTTCTCCAAGAGCAGAGGGTTGTTTGAGTGAGTCCCATACAGACATGCCGAGAACAGCGGAAGGCAGCAGGTCTGCACGCTCCTTAGAGAAAAGGTTCACCTGAAGGGAGAGGCAGGCACCAGGCGGATGCACGTGGTGCCCACTTCAGGAGTGTTCCCTCGGGATGGGGCACACACACTTGGTGGGATGTCTGCAAAGGAGGAGACAGGACACAGATACCTTTAAACTGTATATTAGTTAACATTTTCAAATATTAGGTTCAATGTGTTTTATGTAAATTATCTCTACATTTAAAGTAGCGTGTTATTATTAAGTTGAATAAAAAATGAAAATAAATGCACTGCAGTGTCTAAAAGTATAGAAACACTGATACTATAGTTACAGCACTTTTTCATGTTAATGTTTGGACCCCTTGCTTTAGATTTAGGTACCTGGAGATTGAAAAAAAACATATTGAGTGTATTATCTGAAAATTTAAGTAACACAATGTGCTGTTTAAATATGTTGAATCTGGATTTGCCAACTTTGCAGATGCCCTCTGCTTGCAGGGGGACGTCAGGAAGGGGTGGGCCAAAAGGCAACACAGTGCGGGGCTTGGAGGGAAGCTTCTCTTTAGAGAAAATACAGAAGATTTTCCCCGCTTCTTTTTGTTCTTCTATTACTCCCAGCTTTCTTTTGCAGGAGTTAGGAAGGAAAGATAAAATCCCATGGTCCTTTCTCATTTAACGTTAGAATCAATGGGAAGAAAGTTGGAGAAAGCAGACAGAGCTGCAGCTGTGTGCGCTCTGGAAGCCTAGGCGGGGCCCTGGCAGCTTCTGCGCAGGGGTTTGGGGTGCGGAGTGGGGTCCAGGAGGGCTCAGCTTCTCTGAAGTCAGCTGCCAAAGTAGGTGCAGATTTCTGTGCCACCCGCCAACCTGGAGCTGGGGGTACAGTGGAAAAGAGACAATGTCCCTGCCCTCTGGGAATCTATTTTAAAAAGGAAACAGAAACTGTAGGACGTTAGAGTGACCTCCGCTAAGAGGAAGAAAATGCAGCAGGGCTGCCAGGGCAGTGGGGCAGGAGAGCAGGGAAGTGAGCGATGGGGCCAGGCCAGAAAGCCTTGAAGGTGAGTAGGTGCAGTACCAGGGTACATGCTCCCTAAAGAGCTCAGGGGCCCCCTGAGCCCCCTGCCTGGGCACCGTGGGCTGAGCACATACCTACCTCCCCGTGGTCACCGAGAAACCCTTCCCATCCAGCCCGGCCGCTGCGCTCCTCTGCACCCCGACTCCCTCCAGCAGGGCCCTACAGTGCCCATGCGGTGGGATTTCATCTCGTATGTATTTTGCCCCTGGCTGGCTGTACTTCTAGCTGTGGGTCCCAAGTCAGAGAAGCACTATTTTCCCTAAAATAGAGCCATGGCCAAATCATCCTGGAGGAGTATGAGCACTTTCTGAATGTTTACAGGGACTCAGGCTTTAAGTCTGAACCGAGCATACTGTGGGGTGTTCTGTGGCTGGTGACAGACAGCCACACCTGTGATGTGAGCAGGGAGCCACACCTGGTAGCCATGGCAGCACAGCACCCTGCAGTGGGAGAGGCATGGGGCCCAGGGCTAGCTGGGCTGGTCAGGCAGTCCTCAGCCTCCCAGTTACTGTCTCTTATGAAATGGGGGTGCTGGGCAGACACTGCAGGCCTGCCAGGGCTGCCAGCATAGCACCCCTGGCAGGAGAGCTCAGTGCATCAGGCTCAAGCAAAAGGGGTCAGCCCCAGCCAGAGAGCTGGCCCTGCTGTGTGCATGTGTGTGTCAAAGGGTGTACGTGCAGAGCTGGGTAGATGGTCCACAGAAGGCTGTTTCTTTGCTCACCAGCACTGTTAGACCCAGGTGCTCTTTCTTTCATTGCAATCCAACCAGCACGGAAAGGACCCAGCCCTTCCGAAGCGGTTGCACCCACTCAACACCCTTCTCTTCCACTTATTTGTTAGTTGAAGACAAAATTAAAGACATTATATCAACTTGAAATGCTCCTAATGAAAATTGGTCCCCCTCCACTCTGCGCTTTGTTCCACGGCCACTGGGACTTGGCCGTGTGAAGTCCTGGGATGGAAGGGCTGCAGGCCGTGGTGCATCAGAGGGCTTGTCCAGCCATGCTTGCACGATGCTGACTCTTCTGTTCTTTTTGTTACAGCTCCAGCCCCGAAAAGGCAAAAATGTGACCACTGGACACCATGTCCTTTGAACACCTATGCCTACCGGTTGCTCAGCGGGGGCGGCCGGGACAAGTTCGCCAAAATCTGCTTTGAGGATGAGCTGTGAGTACCAGTGTGGGGCAAGAAAGCGTGGTAATGCCCCGGACTCCCTCCCTCCCCACCAGCAGCCAGTCTGCCCTCAGGAGGGAGGCTTGGCCTTGACCTCAGGCACAGGCTGCCCTCCTCCCAGCAGGCTGAGAATGCGTGCTGTGCGCACCCAGGTGGACAGTCCTCTCCCACGGCCTTCTGCATCCCTGTGTTGAATTTTGATACGCCATCAGGTAGAGCAAACCTTAGTGTATGTTCTCTGGTCCTCTCTGAATGGGCAGCATAGCCGTTCAAGGTCACAGGGACGCCAAAAACTCAGCGGACACCACTATCCTTCCATTTTGCTTTATGACCCTCAGCCTCATGGATTGAAGCGTGTAGTGTATCTTTCAGGCGCCATGACTGCCTTTGGACGACAGCCTAAATGAGCGCTGGAGCTGGAACCAGCCTGGCTTCGTGAAGGAGGCAGCTCGGGCTGCTGTCACAGAGTGCCCAGACCAGGCTGCTTAAACAAGGAACTTTTGTCTTCCCACAGTCCAGAGGCTGGACTTCTGAGACCCAGGCGTCAGCGGGGTCGGGTCCCTCGGACACTGCGGGGAGAACGTATTCAGGCCTCTGTCCTTGGCTTGTACACGCCGTCTTCTCCCTGTACTCCTCATATGTGTGTGTCTGTGCCCACATTTCCCTTTTTTTTTTTTTTTTGAGAGGGCAACACATTTCCCTTTTTAAAAAGGACACTGGTCATTTTGGATCAGGGCTCACCCAGTGATGGCCTTTTAACTGAAGCACCTCTTTAGAGGCCCTGTCTCCAAAGAAAGTCACATTCGGAGGTGCTGGGAGTGAGGATTTCAGCATTTGAATCCCCAGCACCCACATGAGGATGCTGAGGTGAGCAAATACTTCCTACAAATAAGAGGGAGCGCAGGCTTTTCCTAACAGTCCAGGAGGCCTTTCCCAGTTATCTCTCCATTTTCCAAAACTGGACCCCCTTCCTCAGTGTTGGCTGGCTGTTACCCATGGCGCTCGCCACTTCCTGCAACCCTTGCCCTGATCTGTTAGCTCTTTGTTGCTGGACTCAGCTCCTCCCAAAGGGCCTGAGTGGTGTCACTCTCAGCCTGGCACACTGCTTACGATCCAGGCACAGCCCCACTCCATATTTGGGAATTAAACCACCCCTGCCCTGTGCAGGCCCATCACCTGTCTAAGGCCCACCTCACTCACCAAGGAGCTTATTGATAAACATCACTCACTGGTGAGTTCCATGAGTAGGGCCCTCAGTGGAGGGACAGTGACACTGAACACATGGCTCTTGCCTCAGAGAGAGCCACTGGCTGTGTTTTCTTGTAACCAACTTAAGGAACAAAAAGTACTGAGCTGTAGAGAGCTCACCGTCTTATAAAGAGAACATACAGGTTTATGGAGAAAAGTGGCTGGATTTTTGTTTCATGCATGCAACCACGTTTACTCGGTGCCTGCAGATGTCACTGCATATGTCACTAAGATAGCAGGCTTACATCACAACCTCCAGGCCTCCCATTGGCAGCGTTATCTGGTGACCCACCGCTCGGTCCTCCAGCGTTACACGACTCCTGTGCTCTTTCCTTTTCCATTTTGGTTTGATCAGAACTCAGCATTTACATTATTATGACTCAAAACAGAATTCAGAGAGCTTTATTTGATATGAATATTTTATTCAGTGAAAAACAAGCAGTTCTAAAACAGGAGACTCCGCAGTCAAGGCAGTTAGGAAGCTTGGTTCTCAGGAGTGGTGGCTCCGTATAAAGCTTCTGAGGAATGAGTAAATGCATTGTTTTCTGTTATGGTTTTTAACCAGAAACTTACATCCATTTGCATTGTATAAGTTTACTGGTTCATAACTGCAAAGTTACACTGACGTGAAGAAAGCTTATGTTTCAAGGATCAAGTCAGCATTTTGGATTTTAGCTTTGGTTATGTGACTGTGAGTGTTCAGTCTAGGGATATAGTTGAACTGTGGCCTCCAGTTAGTTGTTAACATGACTGAAGGTTCTTTATGACAGAAGCACATTGTGTACAGCAGTTATGTACCCTTGTCTTTTTGTTTCTCGTTGGCTTGCTTACTTTTCTTGTAAACTAACTTATGTCAGTATAATCCCTAAATTTTTCTCTAGTTAAAATAAATCTGATGTCACATCAGATATTTACCAGCTTCATCTTCTGGAGCCTTCTGAACAGCCCCAGTCAGTCAGGTTGCTCTTGGAGCTACCCTGCAGCTGCCCTCTGGCACCCCCCTCCACCATCATCCTGGGGGTGACCTTTGCTTCCCTGTCTGGAGCTGGAGCCCCAATTTCCAGAGCACAGTAGCTTCCACTTTCTTAGTTTACCCCCTTGTTTTGCTGGAGCACGTCCTCCAATAACATCCTGAGTAAAGGGTAGAAAGAGAGGTAAAATTTAAAGATTCTTCAGGTTTAAAATGCATTCATTCCCCCTCACAATTAATTGATAGTTTGGCTGAATATAGACTTCTAAATTAGAAATAATTTCCACTTTGAACTTTGAAGCCATGGCCTGGAGCCAGATTACTCTCCCACCAGCAGTGTTTGAGTGCAGTGACCATGAGAATGTACTTCTCAGTCTCCTGTTGATGGAGTTCATGGATCAAGAGTTTCAATCGCTGCATTCTGAAATCCATAGCATGTTTCCTTGAGGCCATGATTCCTGCAGGCTGCTCCTAGCTGGTGATGGAGCACTGTTAAAGAAAAAATATTCATGACACTTGTTCAAAATGGTGAGGTAGACTTTATTCAAGGGGGGCATGGCAATAGCTGTAGGGACCTCTACAGCATAGTCTTTTAGTGAGGGAGAGTAGACTCCCCTCCAGATACAGCACATGGGCAAGTGGGAATCTCTAGGCAAGGAGCAGGGTGGAGAGTGGATAGAAAATTACTATGAAGAAACTGCAGGGGTGAGTAAGACTCTAGCTGAAGTAACCTAACAGGATTTTTGCTGAAGGAAGGGCAGGTGCTCAGACCTCACCTGGGAAGGTAGCGAAAGAGGAGGAGCCCAATTTAGTGTGGAGGGTGATCAGATTAAAGGTGCAGGGTTCTAGTTAAATTGACTTAGCAGAATTCGTGCTAAAAATGGAATTTTTATACAATTATACAAAAGTCCAAAGGTCAGGCCTAATTGAAAGTCAGGGGAGACTGAGCAGAGTTTGGTAAAGGAGAGAATCTTTGCCAGCACAGAGGGATACTGGGCAGGCCCATTTCTGGGAAACACAGGCTCTGCACATGGCCAACTTTGGTTCCAGGATGCCCCAGTGGCCTTGCTGAACCCTACTGAGATGGCCCGATGGTCTAGGACACAACCGCCCAAGCTTTTTCCCTCGTTCCTTCACTTGCGGCCAGGCTTGCATTATGGTCTGACAGCCGTCTCTGCTTAACCCAGCCCCCAACCCATCTCTTGTAGGCACATCCCCTAAGAAAAATTCTTGTGCATTTAATTCTGTTCCAGTATTTGACTCTCAGAGGACTTAGATTAACACAATGAGAATGACTGTTTCCCCACAGTCTGTCCAACATAACATGTTGACAAATATTTTCTCTTCATTTGTGGCTTGTCTTTTCCTTCTCTTAGCAGTGTTTATCAAAGAAAAGAAATTCTTCACTTTAATGAAGTCCAATTTACCAAGGTTTTTTGTAGGGATCATATTTTTCATGTCATATCTAAGAACTTTTTGCCTAACCCAAGGTCACAAAACTTTTCTCTTGTTTTCTTCCATAAGTTTGATAGTTTGTATTTTTTCATTTTAAATTTTATGATAGGTCCATTTTGAGTTAATTTATGTATACAGTGTGAAAAGTAAATTGATGTCATTTTTAAAATACGTACATCCAATTGTTCTAGCACCATTTATTCAAAATACTATCTTTCTCTACTGAATTCCTTTTATACCATTGGCAAAAATCAAGTGACCAAAAATATGTATATCTAATTCTGGGCTCTCCATTTCCTTCCACTTGTTTGTTTGCCTTTCTTTCCACTGCCTTAATAACTATAGCTTTACAATAGATCTTGAAGTTCAAAACATAATTTCTTCAATTTTGTCCTTCTTTTTCAAAATTATTTTGACTATTCTGGATCCTTTCCATTTCCATATGAATTTTAGAGTTAGCTTATAAATTTCTACACAAAAGCCTACTGGCTTTTGATTGGGATTGAACTGGATCAATTTGGGGAGAACTGACATCTGAGAAAAATAGTCTTTTACTTAACACAGCTCCCCATTTATTATATCTTTAAATTGTCTCAGCAATGTTTTGTAGTTTTCAGTGTACACATCTTGCAGATCTTTTACCATATTTATCTCAAAGTGTCTCATCTTTCATGTTATTGCATATTTAAAAATTTTTTTAATTTCTAGTTGTTCATTCCTAGTATATAGAAATACAATCCACTTTAATATAATGATGCTATATCCCACAACCTTGCTACACTCTCTTATTATTTATAGTAGCTTTGTTGTAGATTACATTGGGTTTTCTACATAGGTTATAATGTTATCTACAAAATAAGGCAGTTTTATGTAAAGCAGTTTTATGTAAGGCAGTTTTAAGTAAAGATGCTCTTTTCTTATCTGCATGCCTTCAATCTCTTTTTCTTGCCTAATTGCATTGGATAGAACCTCCATCACAATGCTGAATAGAAATGGTGGGAGCAGGCCTCCTTACCTCTTTCCTCATCTTTGAGAGAAAGCATCCAATCATTCACCATTAAGTATGATGTTAACCAGGATTTTTCAGAGATGCCCTTTATCAGATTAAGGAAATTCTCTTCTATTCCAAGGTTGTTAAGAGTTTTTGTCAGCAATGGATATTGGATTTTGTCAAATATATTTTCTGCATCTCTTGAGGTGATTATATAGTTTACAGGTTGCTCTTGGAGCTACCCTGCAGCTGCCCTCTGGCACCCCCCTCCACCATCATCCTGGGGGTGACCTTTGCTTCCCTGTCTGGAGCTGGAGCCCCAATTTCCAG